ACTTCGCTATTACCCTCCAGTTCTAAACGCAGAATCTCAGACACAACATGACTGAGTCAAATAGACAAAAATCAGAGTGCAGGTCAAATTGTGCTCTTTGTAGAAACTATGGGAAGGAATTCACTTGTGAACTCATCCAGTTTATTTTGTCAGGGAAAAAAATGAAATCCATATTTCTTTGCTAGCTCTTTATTGGAGGCAGACTTAGCTTGATGGGTCACTCAAACTCTTTCACAAGTGACCCTGTTCTCACTGCTAGTAAAAGAAACTCTTTTCTTGTGTCACATGCTTTGAATCTCTGATGTCAGGACAAGTCTCATACATATTGAAGCTGACCTAATCAGGTGAGGTTTACCCTAGATAATTTCTCTTTCTTATGCTATGTAATATAATTTAGAAATGGAAGTAAACTCTATCATGAACTCATAACCCTAGGGATTATACAGTTGTATATAGTAGATGAAGGAAATCATTGGTGTCACCTTGATATTCTTCCTAACACAGATGACAAAAGACCTTTCTATGCTATCTTGTATCTTTTAGTATTTTCTATACTTGATCTGTTTAAATGTAACTATTTTCCATTAACCTATTTTCCAGTTACTAATCCTCTATTCAACAATACTTGCTCTGTTTACACCTATATTTCTGAATATTCTAATTTTACTTCAACTTTATGATCCTATGAGTCTATAGAATCTAAATTTCTAGTAAAACTATGCATGCTTTATTCACTTTTTGTATCTTCTTAAGTACATTTATAGCTACTTTCTTGTTACTAACTCCATAACCATATCACCTAAGAGTACACTGGAATTTGTTTCTGTCTTAATTTTAAGCCAATTTTACCTGTCACTTTGCACTGCTTATAATAGTGTATCAAGATATGACCACTGTATATGAAACAGATTGCCTAATAATTGCATAATTTCCCATGTCTGCATTTAATTTTGTTTTGGATGTCTGAGGCTCTGTTATATAAACAGCATTGTCTTGTCTTTTCAATGAATTGTTCGTTTTCATAAAATTATCCTTTTCCATGACTGATAATTATGGTGTTTGTCTTCAAATCTGTTTTATATGATATTAAATAGTTAACTCCAACTTTCATTTGATGATCATATCTGATTTCTACTCTGTATTTTCCACGAAACTATCTTCAAGTGTAATTCATCATGGCTATGTTCTTTGCCTACATTTGTGTGTATCTTTTCACTGAAGTTTTAAACTGTAGACTAATAACATTTAATAAAACTAATATGGAAGTGTTTTAATTGATCATCTTTTTATTATTGGAATTTAATATATTTTCTGTTTTATGTCAATAGTATTTTCTTTATATCACCTTACATAAATAACCAAATAAACAAACAAGCTGCTTTCTGTTTCTTTGAGAACATTAAGATTAATATGCTCACTTTAATTTTCAGTCTTCACCAAAGGTCCAGGAATTTCAAGTAATTCCTCATCTCCTTCTCCATATGGTTGTAACTTTATATATTATCTCCTTATTTGATTTCATTTTCCACCTGTCTTTGCCATCATGGGTCTTTATACCTTCTCCTTTAAAAAAAATCGAAAGCACCATATTTTTAAAAATTTTTTGCTTTTTTTTTTTTTTTTTGCTTTCACTGAGAACTAATTCATTCTGGTGAGTGCTTCCTTTTCAGAAGCTATAAACAGTCATAACTATTTCCTCTCCCACTTCTCCCACTTGCCTCATACCAGTGGGTGACTGAAGAGATAAACATCCTCTTTGCTCATCTGGTAATTTAGACTATGTTCTCTCCTCCTCCCAAGCATCTATCATTGAAACTTTTTCCACCAGGAAATACTTTAACTGTACCTTCTTATTTCATTCAGGTTCAGGCTTGAGATGTTTTCTCTTATTCCTTGGTATTGAGACCCTGGGTCACTGTCACTCTGTCCAAGATGATTTATGATATTGAAATTCATCTTGAGTGCCTTTCTAATATGTTACCTCTACAATTCCTTCAATAATTCTTCCCCAACAAAAAACAGTGTGGGTCAGAGCAGAATGAGTGTGAAGATCTTACTGAGGTAAATGAAGACACTCTGCCCAGGGAGACAGGGGAAACAACCAAGAAATAATACTATGTCTTCACCTTTTCTGTCTTTCTGATTTCTTTCAGTGATTCCTTAATATATTAATCCAGTGAGATGCCAGAGGAGAAAGGGCTGTAACACTATGATTTATTACTGGGACACTGAGGATGTGAATTAGTGGATCTGAAGGATGATTCTCTTTGGGACTTTCTTGTTTTGAATGCAATTAACTGTACAAAACCACCAGCAAATCATTTCACATCTACTTTCTCTGTAATGATGCATCAGATCACTTTCATTACTTTCTCTTATACAACCTCTGCCCTTTGCACTATATTTTGTTGTGCTTCATTTCAGTAGTGTATAGGCTGTTTGTCTGCCTCTTTGTTTGTCTTGCCCTCACATTTAGTAATCACAGCACCAGAGTGGCTTATCATCACTAAGAATGACTGCAGTTCTAAAATACATTTCCAGTTACCAATTTCTGTACAACCTACCTCTCCTGATTTTATATTTTCTTAATCTTCATCACATGCATTCTGCTCTGACCCACACTGTTCTTGTTCATGACTTGCTGAACTTTTCAAGAAAGTACTGTCCCAGTACTTTATAATTAATTGCCTTTCTTCTCTTATCTGGAAACAAAACTCTAGATAGCCCCAGAACTTACTCCCATTCTTGATTTAAGCTTAATCTCAAATAGTATTTTATCATTTATGCATTCTCTCATACTGCTAAATACACCTTATCTTCTCCAATACTGCCTATAATTTTTCCTTGCTTTACTTTGTCCTCTTTTGGAATCACATATGCATAATAATAACTTCCTTTTCTGTTCTTTAATTGCTGGTCTATGGCATGGGAATTTATATTGTATTATTTAATCTATGCTCCTCCATTTTAGAATGTCATTTGGTACACAAGCACTTGGAAAATTTGAGGGAATGAATAAATTTCAATTAGGGTGTATGTATGTTTCTTTTATTAAAATGTCCACTAATAAGAATGTCTTCAATTATGCTAAGATTTTTATATTTTTTCCTCAACCACTCAGGCCCAAAATATCTTTAAGTCCTCTTATTTATTAGCAGTCCAGTTAAATATTTCTATTTAATTTTTTCTTGTTTTCCTCTTTATAATTATTACTTTTAGCTTAGGATACTTTAAAAGGCTTAATACATTTTTAAATGATCTCTTTAGCTTCAATCACTATATAAATCTTTTACAGTGGTGGTGGTGGTGGGGTGTGGGATGTGTGTGCATGTGTGTATGTGTGTGGTGTGCATGAGTGCATTGGTGCAGCTGCACAGTGGGCATAGATGAGGGTACAAGTGTGTGTGCATATGTATGTATGTGTGTGGAGGACAGAGGACAATTCTTTAGGCACTTTCCACATGTTCTGAGACAGGATCTCCTCACTGACTTGGAATTCATCAAATTGGCTAGACTGACTGACCAATGAGTTTCAGGGATCTGCCTCCTCAGTGCTGGGATCACAGCTGCAGACCATCATGCCCAGCTTTCTTTTTCATGAGTGTGTGTGTGTGTGTGTGTGTGTGTGTGTGCTTTTCTTTTTTTTTTGCATTTAAAAAATTTTTATTTTTAGTGAATATTTGCTATTTTCATAGAATATAGTTTGTTGATGTTCAGTTAGATCCCCTATCCATACCTCCCCCATCCCCTCCCAATTTAAGTACACTCTTAAATGTACAGTATGGCATATAGAATCTGATTTGTGTGCCCAAATGTCCTTCCGTGTGGGTTCATCCACTAGGCCTATCAACAGTCCCATTTCTGAATGACATTGTCTTCTCCCCTCCCAGCAGCCAGCAAAAGCCAAAAGTTGCTTAAGTTGCACTGGGATTTCTTACCAGCTTCTGCATGTCTGTGTTGTGATTTTGTCTGGTTTGAGCTGCTTTGGGACCGTCTCCAGTCCCCCTGTTCCAGAGCTTAGGATTTTTCTGGTAACTAATAAGAACAAGAATCAATACATTCTATTCCCAGTTTAAAAACAAACAAACAAACAAACAAAAAACAAAAAAAAACACATGGGTTCTGGGGCTCAAACTCCAGTTCTCATGGTTATAGGGCAAGAAGTTTACTGACTGGATTATTTCCCCAGCTCTCTGTATTGTTCTTAGAAAATGCCACTGACTTATTTGCCTTGAATTATCAACCCTAAAATAACACAACTTCATCTTTTCATTCAGTCTCTATTAAATGCTGCTTTATACTTTGCATTGGCCCTGGACATTTTTGCTCTTGTTTCTCTGTTTTTGCTTAGGAAGAACAATGCTTGTGTTGGTATGAAAACAAATATGATCTAACCTGGGCTCATTATTCTATGTTAAAATATGGCTTTCTTAGTATGATGGCATTCAAATGTCTCTTCACTTTCAAAACACATGAAGATTAAAATATGTTATGTGTCCTTGAAAATGTTTCAGGCCTCAAGTAAAGTATCTGCTGTGCTTAATGAATATCAGCTCTATCGTGATTATATACAAAGCAAAGTATTATCCTTTTACCATGATTAAATAATATTTACAGTTGGGTAATTGTTTATATTTCAAATATCAACTAAGATTTCATTTCATTTCATTATCTTTGATTGCCTTTAATTTATATCACTGTCTAAACAAAATGAAATTCGTATATAAATTTTTTGGCTACTATTTTTTAAGTTAGAAGAAATTTTCCTTAGTAACAACAATTAAACACACACAAAATCATTCATTAACAGACAAAACACCTTGCATTTACAATTAATATTTTACTTCTCAATACTGATTCACAGGTTTAGTATGAGGATATTTATTCAAACTAGACAATCTCCCTTTCCTTAGTGATTTAATTCTTATTTTATAGTGTTGAAGGTTATTGTCTCATGGCTAAGTTTCTATAACATTATTTTCTATCTTCAATATTCCTAGGCATACTACAATTGTTCCTGTATTCAAGAGGGATTGACTACCTCAGATGAGGAAGGTGATTTTGTTGATGCCCTTCCTGGAAAATGTAATACAAAGTGTTATAAACTACCCTTGTTTTTTGCCTTTTTCTTTTCTTCAATTACTTTTTCTAGTTTGTCTGGTATACCAATTACTTTGACTGTCCTCCGGTAAGTACATAATATTTATAATTGTCATTTATTTAATATATAAGAAAGATAAATTTAGGAATAGTTCAGTTTATTACAGCAAATTGACTGCTCTGTGTTTTATAGCAGCAAATACAGAGGGAAATTTTTTCACATTGTTTAAGAAAAAGTGTTTGATTTTCTAATTCTACATTAAATAACTACACCAGGAAAAAACATTAGTGTCATCAAAATGTAACACAGTAACTTTTATAATGTCAGTACATAAGTTTATTAATCTAAGTGGAATCAACTATGTGTTATTCCAGAATATAAGTCCACCTAGCATTCATTTTTATATTAGTAACAGAATAAATGGTCATTGCTTGAAAAATTTTTTTCAGGTACTTAACAAGTATGCTTGAGTCCTAACTATCCAGTAGAGGCTGACCAACAAAGTAGAACACACATAGCTTATCTTTGGAATGGTTTGACTTAGTTATGGAATTGAAATAGAGGCAGAAATGTGTGGCCTGTCCTAGTAAGTAGATGATTAGAGACTGATTGGAGACTAGGAGAATTTGAGTTAATTAAAGGTCTGATTGTGTTAAACCTTCTTTGAAATGTTAATGTGAATGATGTGTCTAACCTCTGGGATCCATTAAGAAAGGCAAGCTTCAAGAATAAATTTGAAATCTCCCCTCCCACCCAAGGCCCTTTATAAATTTCCCGACTTCCATGGGCATGGCAATTAAAAACAGAAATCCAAAGTTTCACTGGGCATGGTAGCACATGTCTTTAATCCCAGCATTTGGGAAGCAGAGGCAGGAGGATCTTTGTGAGTGTGAGTCCAGCCTGGTCCACATAACAAGTTCCAGGCCAGCTGGCACTACAGGTAGACCCTGTCTCAAAAAGAAAAAAAAAAAAAAAATCCAAAGTCTCAAATTTGACATGCACACGTGAGAGAGAATATGAAACATTTGTTTTCCTGGTCTAGGTTATCTCAGAGATTACTTTCTGAGTATGGTGAGGGATAACTAATACTGAAGAACTTTGAAAATGCCATGTGGAAACCTACTACTATATAAGCTTCCAAACATACATACATATATATTTATAAAAGGAGGTTAAATGGAGTGACCATTGTCCACTGTAATGAGAGGACAATGCATCTCATCCAGACAACCATCAGTTATCATATAATAATCCCAACGTCAGATATGGGTTACCTCTTTTCAAGTTGTTTATTATTGGGGTCCTAAAGAAACCCCCAAAACATACAGACTATTGTCATTGCTCTTGGTTATCCTCCAGAACTTAATGCTTAATGGCTAAGACTCAGTTGTTGAAGATACCATATACTTGTGTCATAGGACATGGAGAAAACATGTTGGCACTAACCTAGAAGCTTCATCCATATAGACTAGCTTTCATAGTAGAGAAGACTCTAGTTCAACAAGTGGGGAAGAAAAGTATTCAGCACTCTTAAACAGATATTAATCCCATGAGTTAATAATGACTATCCTCACAAGATATGTGTTCTGTTATAATAAAATAGCAGCATGAATTTTATTAGAGTAACCAACCACCTTCTGATTGGATTTAAAGCACATTCCACAAGATGAAACTCATACTTGGTACTGCTAACTAGGCTCAAAACCATGACTGGCTAAATCGTAGGCCCCACGGAGAACCTAATCCTATGATTCTGCTAAGTAGATACAGTATTAAACTCTTCCCTGTGTTCTTATCTTTTAGCCATAGATTAATGCATCTGTCATTCTTTACCAGAAAGGTTTCTTTTGTGGTACCATATGACAATTAAGACCCACAATTGGGAAAGGTGCAGCAAATAAGAGATGTGGAGTGCTTAGCTTTAAATCAGACATCTATATCATACCCCTTCCCCCAAGACTCAGTGATCATTGAGGAAGAAGGAGTGAATGATTTAAAAACCCAAAGTAGTCAATGGCTGCAATGAGACAGTATTTTCTGATCCTGGCAAAGCTGTTGCACACATGAACTCACAGTGGGTGTGACTGTATGCAAAAGACTTACACAAGATTAAGCCAGCAAAAGTCTCAGCACGAATGGGGAGGTGGCTACCATGTTTCAGTTGATAGTCTTATACTCATCCACATACGGGCAGCACTAAGTAGACTCAGTAGATCTAAAAAGAGCACATAAAGTTGGGAGGAGAAAGTGGTGGTGATGGAATCAAATCAGAGCCCCCCCCTCCCCCAGATTAAAGTAAACTGAAACTAAGTTTCCCAGGCTATATTCTGGGAAGCTGTACAAGGAAGTAAAAGGAAAATAATTCTAACTGTAGAGAAGAAAAGATGACCTTTTCATGCTTCCTTGCTCAAGCTGGAAAAATACCCGAAAAATCCCCACCTAACTTCTGCTGTAACCTGAATGCTTGCCCCCTCCCACTTCTGCTGTTCGTGGTTTGTGGTTTCTGTCTATATAAGCAAGCTTCTAAGCTGAATCTGGACTTCCCCTTTTGATCAAGGTGGAAGGCCGTCTATAGACGAAATAATAAATCCTCATGCAATTGCATCTACTGGTTTGAGGACTGAGTTATTGGGGTGCGGCCTCCCGAGAACGTAGGGTACCCCAGTTTGGGGGTCCTACAGTGGTGGGAATAAGGGAAGAATTAGCGGGGAAGGAATGGGGTAGATTTGATCAAAATACATTGTATTCAAGTATGAAATTCTTACTGAATATGTTAAATTTGTAGTGAAATGCATCTTCTAATCAAGTAATTATTAAAAATAAAAAAATGATTAAAAAATAATAATTAGTAGATGTGAAAAACATTACCATTGAAATATACCTGTTGACTTTATATCCACGTTCAGATGCCAAGGAGCTCAGAAAGTAACCGACTGTCACTAGTAATAATCAGATATATAGAGATTAGAAATGCATGTGCAAACATCTTAATGTCAATTTAACTGAAAATGAATTTTTCTGTAGGAAACTGTGTATTTTAATAATGAAATGGAGAGCCTTTTTAAAGGTTAAAACCTCATTTAATTTTATGTCTTATAGGGTTTATACTGAGTACAGTATTGTATAACTTTAACAATTCAAATGTAAACCTAAAAATTTGCAGCCAATTTTGAAAAAAGATGCATCTTAGTTCAGAAAATTGTTAGTGAATATGTCAATGCTGTTGCAGTGAAATGCTTCTTCTAAGTATGGGGTTATTAAATACATAATTTACTGGAAAAAACCAAACATCATATGCATACATGAAATTCTCAGTGAATTAATAAAATCATTTTAAAGTGGCAAAAAATGTGAAACTGATTAGATACCCATGCTTGTCTCAAGCCTGTGATCTTTCTCTCTCAGACTCTCCAGTGATAAAATTATAGTCCAGACGGACATCTTAGTAATGTACTTTGAAGAGAATGTGGAAGATGGAGCTAAGGGAGGAAAACTTGAGAAAAAAGAAAGTGGTGCAAGTGTAATAGTTAATATGTAGAGGAAAAGAAGATAAATTTGAGAGGCATTTAGTTTGATTAGTAGGGTAAGAGTTAATACTTTGATGTACTTCATAGGGAATATTGAGAAAACCAGGACCATATTCAGACTTCAAATTTGGGCTAATGATAATTCTATTAACTAAAATCTGAAATTCAAGAAAGAATACTCAAATTAAAATGATCACTACTCGGGCAGGTAAGTTGGCACACTGGGTACAAATACTTGCTGCCAAGGCTGAAGACTTGAGTTTGATCCCCAGAGCTCACATCATGACAGGAGAGAACCAACTCCTGAAAATTTTCCTTTGATCTCCACACATACGCTACGGCACACACATATACACAGACATACACGTATAATAAATAGATAACAAAGATGATAATAAAGGACAAAAAATGTGGTGTGATTATGCCAGTCTGAGCACTGGAGAATCATGAGTTTGAAGCCAGCCTGGGCTATACAGAGACCCTGTTCAAAACAAAAGATGTCATGTGTTATATATAATTCTGCTCAGATGGAGAGCTCCCCACTTTGAGATGGGTATTTGGGGAGTTGAGCTGGACATAGGCAGATGAGGTGGAGACTTTCTGGAAATAATGAGACAGAAGACTTGAAAAGTTCCCAGGATAGCCAGACATAACAAACCTCAAATTGTGCTAGCAAAATAAATATTCAGCAAATAGATGCCTAAGTTTTGAAAGCAATAAATTTAAAGAGCTCTCAGAAACTTAAAGATAGTGGAGATTCTCTTAAAGTAGAAGAGAACGGGAGAAGCAAAAGATTTATTGTTGTACACAGAAACCATCTCTAGTTTTCTATAGCGATGGAGGAGATATATCTTTCAGTTTTGAAACTCGGAAACGGGTGCAGATGGTTTATCAGAACATGTGAGAGGTAGCAGAGGCAGCTCCAGGAAGGAAGTTTACAGCCACGAGAGTATGCATTAAAAAAATAGATTTCAAATAAGTGAATTAATGATGTGTCTCAAGGTTCTCAGAAAATGAAGCAAAGCTAAGACCCAAAATAAGTAGAAAGACTGGCGATGTAGTTTATTGAGTAGAGCACCTACCTATTGTTCACAAAGTCTTGAGTTTTATCTCCAGCATGACATAAACTGGACATGTTGGGACCTGTCTGTAATTGCAGGACTTGAGAGGTAGATGAAGGAGGACCGGTAGTTCAAAGTCAGCCTTGGAATCACAGGGAGTTTGAAGCTAGCCTGGGCAATACAAGACTGTCTCAAATTTTTAAAAAGAAAAAGGAAGGAAGGAAGAAAAAAGAAAGATCAGAGCTGAAATTAGTGAAACAGAGACAGAATAATACAAAACATCAATGGAACAGTGTTGAGTTCTTTTAAACATAGAACCTCTTGACTAAAATAACAAAAACCTGAGATGATTTAAATATTTAAGAGATGAAAAAGAAATACTAGAGTATACACACTGAAATCCAGAGGGTCAAGAAATATTGTGAAAATTCTTATTACAAGGGGGAAATTCAGAAGAAATAGATAAATTTCAACATACCTATAAAATTGAACCAGGAAG